TTTAAGCTATAAGAACAGTTAGCAAGAAGCCTGCCACGGCCATACAGTTTGTAAGCAATATAAGTCTCTGTGTTTACTTGGTTGGGTCTGAGCAGCTGTGGGACTGGCGGGTGACAAAGATTTGTCCTGACTGTGGGCAAGACAGGAAAACTCTAGCTACACATTTTGTTTGTTGTTTTCCAATTTTAAGAAATTTTCACATACTGTATTTGGTGGTTTGAATTGAGAAGATGCCCCATAGTCTCAGGCATTTGAATACCCATTTTTTAATGTTTTTGATGTTGTTGTTTGTTTTTCGTTTTGTGCCCTGTTTGGGGAGGTCTGGAGAGGCTTAGGAACTGGGGAATTGGTGGAAGAAGTGTGTCAATGGGGTGAGCATTGAGAGTTCAAAGTCTCACACCATTTCCAGCTTGTTCTCTGCTTTCTGTGGTTCAAAATTCGAGCCTGCAGCTTGCAGCTTCAACCACCAAGTCTGCCTGCTGCCACATTTCCTGGCTGTGAGGTGATGGAGCCCCAGGAAAGTCTTCCTCCCCTGAGGAGCTTTGGTCATGGTGTTTTATCCCAGCAATGGAAAAGTAACGAATACACTGTAGATACCAGATTTTTATCTGAGAAATTTTTTCCCCAGTCTCTAAACACCACTGACTTTTGCATATGGTGGGATAAAATATAAACTTTGGAATGCTTCTCATATTTTTATATTGTCAAATGTATCAGTTATTTATTGCTTTCCCACATAGAGCTCTCTTCTTTATACCGAAGTTGAGAGAAGTGTTTCCTATTTCCCCGAGATGCAAGGTTTCTGCAGTACATTTAGTTTCTTAGTCAAAGTGGAATAGGCTGACAACCCTCCTTCCTCATCATGGAGTGCTGTGTAACGTTATGTGAGGAAATGTCACATGATCTGCTCACAGAGCTGTACGCATGCTCAGTCTGTGGCTCAAGCAGGACTATTTAAAGACTTGCTTTGGACATGCTCAGAATCAAAGGGTTGGCACATGGAGCTCCTCGTAAAGGGGAATCTGAGTGCAGTGAGGGAGGCCCAAATTAAACAAAAGTGTTGTCACTGAGAACTGGCAATCTGACACATTGTTTTGCAGGTATTTCTTTTATCCCTAGTGAATTAATAAGGCTTATGGAAGTACAGCGTTTACCAGATGTGCTTTGCAGGTCTCCTTTCTACGCCACTGTTAGAATTCCTAGCCACTCCCCCATGACCACACATGTGCTGGCAAGATGCTTAGTCATCCCAGGGCCTTACGTCCTCGTCCTACATAATCCGTGTGCTGTGTGATCACGTAATCTACGTGCATGGGTGGTGTACCTACGTAAGCCCATATGAGTGTGTTCAGGGGGAGTCTATATAAGTGGGTTCCTCATATCCCTCTTCCTCTTCCTGCGACATCTTTCCATAGGCCTAAGCACCCCCTTCTATTTCCTCCCCTTCATAAACTCTTATAGTGGACGCTGTTGTACCTCGTGGCTTTTCTCTCTCGCATGGTAAATGGTGCCACTTAGCTTAATGAATGACGGCCACTCCTCCCTTTCCTTTGCTTTTCAGTGGTAGGGTCAAGGGATGTTCACTGTGAGGAGTGTGGGTCTGTAAAAAAGAATCTGTCTGGACTTCTGTCCATCAAGATGGTCCAAGCTCAAGACAGACTGCACAGCCTCCAGCTCGGCAGGTGTGTTGAGCCTTCAAGCTGCAGGGACTGACCCAGCTACCCTTCACTGTCCCCACGGGACACACTCGTTTTCACTCTTCAAACTGAGACCCCAGCTTTGTCACTGGACCTGGAAAACACCCCTGGGAGGTGCAAGACAAGCTGAGCATGACTGAGTGATCTAGAAGGACACAAAGCCACCTCCAGGGTGGTGGTTTTGCCTCGTGCCATTGACCTGCCATTTTCCGGTTCCTAATGGCAACCGTAAGTGAGCATGTGGGGACCAGGCATGCACAAAGGCGAGAAGATAGCTTGTTTATCAGGTGATGTTGCAGATACCACCATCCCCTCCGTCTTCCAGCCTTGGCCACTTTTTGCATTGGCAAATTGAAGCTTTGTGTTGAGTGTCAGCCTCCGGGCCTCCCGATCTTGCCCCTCGTCCGTCTCTTCATCTCCATGTAGACACTGGTTATTTTGCAACTCACTTTAAGAGCCCCACATTTCCTGAAGCCTTGGCCCTGGGCCTCCAGTGCAGGCTCCTCCTTCAATCCCTTTGAGCTGTTTATCTCTGCTGTCTGCCTGGCAGATTTATTCAAAACCTTTAGGCTTAAATACATTTTCTCGGGACAAACCAGCCATAATACTGCATTAATGAAGCTTATTCATTCAGACTACTGCAGGGGACTCTCTCCCATTGATATGCATATGAAGTTCCCATTAATGGTAATAAGAGTGAATTATGTGGACATATTGACATAAAAATAGGTCCCTTGGGTTCTACCTGTACAGTACATTTTGTTAATTGGGAAGAATTTTTTTTTTAAAAAAAAAACCAAACAATAAGAAAAAAAATCACAAATCAGAAAAGGGGGAAAAAGCCAGCAACGTTAAAATGACTTTAAAAAGGGAGAAGAAATCTGCTGAGTCAGGGCAGGGGCCCCTTGAAGGCAAGTCTAACTACAGTCAAGTGTCACCACGCTCACACAGGAGAACACTGCATGGGCTGTTTTTCTAGTCGCTGCGATAATTAAGAAAGGAAGAGTTTACTTCGGCTCACACTCTGAGAGTTCTGCCCATCACGGCGCGGAATGTGTGGGAGCAAGGGCATGAGGGAGCTGGCACCTGTGCCTGCAGTCAAGAAGAGGTGACTCAGATGCTCAGATCTGCTGCTCCTTCCTGCCTGCTATGCAGCCCAGGACTCCAGTGTTTGGAGGATCCAAGGCAGATCTTGATTAAGCTTCTCTCCAAACACCCCCGGGGACACACCCAGACTTGTGTCTTCTAGGTGATCGCAAACCCAGTCGAGTGGACATGCAGGATTAGCATTGTGGAAGTGTTCAGCAACTGCAGTGAGCTGTGCTGGCCTCTCCCAGTTCCCTCTCAAAGCACTCTGTTGTGGCTACAGTGACTTCGACTTCGGTGGCCTGGGGGTCTCCGTCCTGACCATTGAGCTTCCCCTCCAAAGCACGGCTGTGACTGTTAGAGGAACCCACGGACCTTCCCCGGTTGTCTTGAGGAAGTGTCTTCTTCGACATTTCCTAAGATTTGTTGGTTCTCACCAAGGCCAGCTCTACAGATACCTCCTGGGAAAGTTTATTGACTCATCCATCCTGTCTCCTGGAGAGATGAGTGAACTGGAGGTTGAGAGTGCTAATTTAACACACCGCCACACACAGTACAGGATCGGCCGTCTCTGAGGATCTGGGCCTAGCCTGGGCCACTCTGCTTCTCACACAGCCCAAGGCCTTGTGTTTTCTGAACTCTGGCTTGCTGGAAACAAACTGATTGTTCCCATTGTGATAGGAAGACTCACTGCAGAAACACCAGGTCTGTGCTCAGACCTGAGCCTCTTTCCCCAAGGTGTCCTCAGGATTAGACAACCTGAACTCTGTGGTAACCTGAGCAGATGGCATCAGTAAGTGTGTGTGTGTGGCAGGGGATGGGGGTGGGAGGTGGGAGGTGCAGATTAGCACCAGCTTTAGGCAAATCTACCAGACTTTGAATGGATGTATAAACTTCTAGAGAGAGGTGGGGAAGAAAGGAGATGGTGTAAGTCCAGACATCTCTCTGGTCTGCCATGGGGGGCATGTCCCAGATGTGACCCTTCATGTCAACTATTCCAAAGCCTGGCTTCTGGGGCATCTCTACCAGCCATGAGACTTCCAGGGATCTGGGCTTGGTATGGAGGCAAAATGTTTAGGACCCAGGAAATGCACACAAAATAGTAAACATGGGCTTTCTCCCCCAGCCCTGACCAGCCTCGTTAGCAATGCAAATATATTCAGGAGTTCCTCTGCTTGGTACCACCCAGAGGTGCTCCTGGCAGCCTGCTGCCCCGGGCAAGATGGGTAAAAGGAGACACAGCCCACACTGCCCCTCACAGCTTACAGACCTCCTTGTGATAGAGTCACTAAAGCATTTTGCCACCCTAGGCAACCGCCTGCTCTCCCTGCCTGTGAAACCACCCCTGTGCAGTTTAAGTCGTCTCTGGCAGATGAATTCATACGCAAGGAGACAATCGGAGGCCAGGGCAGAAAAGCAACTCTAATGTATTCTAATGCACAAGAGCGTGTGCCTCTCTCTGCAAAACACCACTGCCTCCAAATTTTTGTTAAGCTGTGCCTACCCGTTGTGTGCATTCACTTCATTTTTTTTAAAAAAGGGATTGTAGGTAAATGGTTAGAATAGAGGATGAAAGCTTGCAGGCCACTGCTGACTCTCTCTCTCTCTCTCTCTCTCTCTCTCTCTCTCTCTCTCTCCAGAATCTCATGCAGCCCAGGATGAACGCATAGCCAAGAATGATCTCCAACTCCCAACCCTTCTTCCCCTCAGGTGCTGCTAGGATTACACACATGCCTCACTCTCAATCTGGTTTTTTTGTTTTGTTTTAACACGTTTTCTATAAGAACAAATTTTAGTTCTCCGCCCCCCCTTTTCTGACTTCTTTTACAGTTTTCTTATAGTTGTAAATATTACACACCTCTTTGAACATTTCTTGGTTGATCACCAGTGCTGTATCATTTTATGTTAATTTGACACAGGCTAGAGTCATTTGAGAGAAGGGCCCCTCAATTGGGGAAATGCCTTAATAAGATCGAGCTGTGGGCAAGCCTGTAGGGCATTTTTCTTAATTTGTGATTGATGGGGGAGGGCCCAGCCCATGGTGGGTGGAGCCATCCCTGGGCTGGTGGTCCTGGGTTCTATAAGAAAGCAGGCTGAGCAAGCCATGAGGAGTAAGCCAGTAAGCAGCACCCCTCCATGGTTTATGCAGCAGCTTCCTGGCTCCAGGTTCCTGCCCTGTTTGAGTTCCTGTCCTGACTTTTTTTTAGTGATTAACTGTTTTATGGAAGTGTAAGCCAAAGAAACTCTTTCCTCTCCAGACTGCCTTTATCATGGTATTTCATCACGATAGTAACACTAAGACATCGCCATGCTAAAAATCCATTTGAAAAAGGTTAGAAGTAAAAGAATCAAGTGGTTGCTGTATAGGACTGTCTCTTGGTGTTGCTATGGATACAGTGTTACATGGGATATAGCCATCTTATGTAATATGTCCAGAATCTGCTCCTGACACACAGGAGATCAACTCAACGCCACAGACCGAGGCTTCCTACCATCTGTGCAGACATGCTGATGTCACAACCAGGCCAACACACAGTTAAACAAATAGACTGTGTCTGCCTTCCCTAAAACATACAAGGTGGTGCTCTGGAAGTTTAGATTTGAGTCTGGAGGCCCAGAGCCCCCCTTGAGCTAGAACCTGGGGAGCAAGGGAGGCCCTGCTCTCCCCTCACACTCTCCTTCTGCAGCTGAAACTGGGCACACAGATAGACTTCCAGGAATGTTTGCCCATGGCTTTCTGGTGCCATGGAGACCGCCCAGAAAGATGGACCCAAGTTTTTTAAGCTTGGAAATAAGCTACAGGTGGTTCTTCTGTACCTCTGGGTGTCTGGGATCTCAGCAGAAGGGTAGGAAAGGAAGTGAACGCTCCCGTGGAGAAGGACCCTTGTCCCTTTACAAAGAGCAAGGTCAGAAGATGGCGGGAACAGGGCCCTCAAAAGCCTCAGGGTTGTGCTGAACCTACTCCATGGGCTTGGGTCCTCCATTGGATGAGAAAGAGGTCAGGAGCCAAGCGCCAGCTTTCACAGCTGTCCGATTCCAGACTGAGCATGATGGTTGTCCTGTGTCAAGTTCTCTCAGAACAGATTGGTGGAGTGTCAGCACTCAGCAGCCTCCAGCTCATCTGGACCCTTCCCCTAGACTGTGCTTTCACAAGATTAGGAGTGCTGAGGCTCATGTCTGGTTTATAACTGCTGGGGAAGGTGGAGCTTAGGACCTTTGGGAAAAGTCGATCTACAGGACTCTGTGAACCTGGGAACATGGCCCTCAACAGCTCCAAGACTTTCTGAGAAACTTGATGCTGTGTTTTCTGTCACATCTATGTAGAGTCATTTTCCCAGCTGTGAAAGGGGGAGTTGAAATGCCAGCATTTCCTGGTCCACAGCCTCCTTCACCATTTCAGTTTGGTTAGTGTTGCCATAGTAACTTCCAGCCTGTTTTCTGATGCACTGATGATTACCAAGCACCTAACAATGGACAAAATATCAGGTTTCAAGATGTGGCTAACACAGAGCATCCTGCCTGCTCAACACCCAATCTCCCATCAGAGTGATGTTTCCGCCACTTGGGAAAGAGAGATGAGAAAACATGCCGTTAGTGACCACAGGAGTGTGCAAATATTGATCATACACATCATCAGACATCTGAGCGTGGGTTCTGCTTTGTCTTCTGAGAGGTTGGGTCAATGCCGTTTTCTCTGTGACTGCTGACCTAAACTGCCAATGTCCCCAAAAGTAAGATTTGTTAAAGCAACTCCTGTAACACATGGGAACATAGACACCGCATTTGAAAACACCACCTTCATTTCCTACCTGCCTCTGCTTGGCCATCTTCAGGGTGTGGTATAATGCGGCTAAGTTGGCAAAGAGGTCAAGCTTCCAGAGCTCAGGGAGGGGTAGCATGCAAGTGTGAGTCACAGGTTCCCTAGTGAAACGATGCTAGACGGCAGTCTCATGACAACTGATACTGGACTATAAGACAAGTTAAGTCGAGGCTGGGGACGTGAGTGAATGCATAGAATACTTACTGTGCAAGCAGATCCTCCACGTCACAGGAAAAAGATGAATGTGTGATATGTGCCTAGTGTTCTGGCACCAGGGAACGCAGACAGGAGGTTTCCAGGGGCTCATTGACCAGCTAGTGTAGACGAGAGAATGAGCTACAGGCTCAGTGGGAGACCACAGCTCTAAAAATAAGGTGAGGAATCATACCCAACATCCACCTCTGGCCTATATACACATATGACTGGATGAGTACACACAACACAGACACAGACACCCACACACTCACACACACACACTCACTCACACACACACACAGAGAAAGAGAGATAGAGACAGAGGAAGTAAAATAAATATTTTTAAAATTTCATACCTGGTACTGGAAACCTAGACAAGTACCCTGTGACTAAATCAGCACAGTCCCGACCTACACTCTAAACAGTTGTCCTTATACCCACAGGTAAGTGTAGTCTTCACTTTGCAATAGACAGAGACCATTAGAGAAAAGCCACAACCTATCAAAATGTGAAGTTGTGGAGCCCACTCCCAACGGCTACATCTACAGCACAACTTCTGCACCTAAGGTTCAGGGAACATTGTGGAAGGGAGGGTGGAGAGATTGTAGGAGCCGGAAGATCAGGATGTTTACTGTGAGACTGTGTCTCCTAGGACTATCAGAAGCTACAGCCATGAAGTCTCACCAGCATGGCTGCTTAAATCCGACCTGAACAAGAACACCACCCATAGACAGGCTAACGTGAATGGGGGTCGAGCTCACTAGAACTACAGGCCATGAAGGAACGCTGAGAATGGAGAAGACAGTCTTCCCCAGGGAAGAGCACACCAGTTGGTTATCCAATACCAAATGACCAGCCCTGAAAACATACATACAAGTAACACTATACAAAATGAGCAGGTTGTACTTATGAATATATATATATATATATATATATATATATACAAGTAACAACCATGAAAGAAAAAGAGGTCATGGATTTGAAAAAAAGCATGGGGGTGTGGGAGAGGGTTTGGAGAGAAACGGGAAGGGGGTATGATGTAATTATAACTAAGCACATGATACTCATGACTAAAGCATCTATATGAGGAACAAGGTGGCTCTTTTTTTGAAAGTGGCCACGTTTTCTGTGGTTACTTATGCGGTGGTTATTGATTTGCAAGAAATAAATAGGAGCGAGTCCTGATGGAGTTTAATGCAAAAAGGATGGTCTCTTGTCTGCTGCTGACATCATTATGATGTCAAAGACCTTTTGTCTCAAAGGCTGAACAATTTTATATGTATTTAAGCCAACGACGTGGCTCCTGAGGGAGGCAGCGCAATTGCTAATTCAGAGTTGAGGCAAGCATGGAGAGGCCTGCGTGTGACTCATCCAGGTCAAAAACAGATGATGAATCTCAGAGCTATGCATTGGTTAATTGGTTTTGTATGATAGCCTGGCGCAGGCTGTTCCTTCTGTGCCAACCAGACGACTCCCTGTGTGCATGTGAGCTCACCACCATGCAGGGTCAGAGTCATTGAACTTGTGTGGGACACTGAGTCACCGGAAAGAAAGTTTAAAACATGAGGTGGAGGCTGGTGATGGTTCATATCGATTATAAACTTGACTCGATCCCAAAGCAGCCATATCTTGAATTGGGTGGCCTAGTGCCATGGCCCAGAGTGGATAAAACAGGAAGACGCAAGCTGAGCTTCATCTGTCTGGCTAAAGAACCCAACCAGCTCCCTCACAGTTTGCCACTAACTTTGCCTTCTCGTCTAGGATGGACAGCGCCTTCAAAGCGTGAGCCGTGAGAAACCCTTCATTCTTTAGGTGGCTTTTGCCAGTCATTTTGTGCCAGCAGTGAAAAGCAACTAGCACGGGGCCCACCCTAGATGCACTGATCCATGGGTGACTTGTAGAAGTCTACCACAGGTATTTCTAATCGATACTGGGCCCTAGACGGAAGTGCCGCAGAGCCCCGGTTCCTGAAAGTGGGTATGCTGCGGAGCCCCCTAGATCAGGCTTGCCAGCACCTCCATCAGAGTTTGTGATGCACAGCGATGATTCTCACAATTCCCAAGTTGCACTGAGATTGCTATTCGTGGGCCAGGATCTAAGACAGACCTATAAGGGTAATTTCATGAAAAACTCACCACGCCAAGTACATCACCAGCTAGATTTTACAGTTTAATAATACATGTGTTTGGTGTTGGCATCTTACAACCCAGGGAATTTCTACCACCGACTCCCCTCTCCACCCCCCACCCCCCTCCTTGTTATAGGATGCTGTGAAGTGTCTCTGGAGGCATCTGGCAGGCATTCCCAAAGCCCAATTTCTGACTGATGCACAGATATACCCATAGAATGACACATTCTGTGCTTGAAGTCACTTAAGCTGCACAGGGGCAATAGGGAAGCCATTTGTAGCGTGGTCCATAGTTATAACGTTCTGCCCCCAAACTGGACTCGTGGGTGTGAGATATTATGCTCATTCCTTTCCCTCCAAGCTACCCATATGGCAGCAAACCTAGCAAAGAGTCAATTGAGGCAGAGTGGGAAAAGGTGCCCACTGAAAAGGACCTGGGGTATTCCTGCCAGGGGTGCTGGGGAGACCATGCCACATTGGAACACAGGGCCCTGTGTTCTCCTTGGTTCTGTCCTCTGGGCCCCTGGCGCACTTACAATAGCCCTGCTCTCTTTTCTTCTCTTTGGCCATCTGTGGTGTGGACCAGGCCTTCAGCATGTCTGACTTTAAAATGCCAAGTGCTGACTAGAGCTCTTGAGGGCTACTCATGCCCTCACGTGGGCATGAGGTCTAAGCATTCGATTTTCAGTTTGATTTTCTTCTAGGTGAGTGTCATGTGAGAATGAACGCAGATGAAAGCTTACGAAGATAGTGAGTTTCGCTGGCAAACGTCTGCAGGAGTGCAGTGCAACAGAAGATCAGATGCCACATCTGCCATGGCGCTGGTCAGCATACTTCACGACGTCTGTGTCTGAAGCCATCATCCCCGTGGCTGCAAATGGACACCTAGGTCCCTTCCCTGCAGTAGCTTCTGTCATTCTCTGTCACCTGTTAATGGTGGTGCTCTGGAAAGCTGCTTTGGAGGGTTTATTTATTTTTTTTTTTGTCCTAATGCACCAAGGAGAAAACTGGCATGTGCTGTCCTAGGCTTATCTATGCGGACTGACTTGATCAGAGTACCTCTTGTGTGAGACCCGGAATGAAGAGCTTCTACCTTGGACTTTTAAGAGCGCACTGTCCAGATAGATATTAACCCACAGTCTCTCCAAATAGATAGTAAGCCTCAAGGGGTCAAGTACATAGTCCAAGATAAACAACAAATGAGGAGATAATATGTTTGTGTTGAGAATGGGGAGCCTGGTGCCCAGACCTAAGCATTAGAGTCAATTCTCTCCACTCTCCATTCCGAGGAAAGCTAAACCAGCAGGGAGAGCAGAGAAGGGATATGGCCAGGCATAGAGGAGTTCACCTCAATATTTATACCTCCCAGGTGGCTTTACAGAAGAATGTGCTGAGAGAAATCAACTGCTCCAAGAGATGCACAGAACCGACTCCTCCAAAGCTATGTTGGGGTTGAGCCTTGATTTTTAAGAGTCTACTCACAGTTACTGAGTTGGGAGGGCTCAGGTAGAGCTGATTTGCAGCCTGCCTTCCTCAGATTCTTGTAAATTCTCTTTCGCCAGCTGTTGAGTTTTACCATGTTTTCCATAAAATCCAAATAAATGGGAAAATCTCATTAAACCATGGAACCTGATATTTATAAGACGTTATTAGGTGAAAAATATGGTCTTAAACATGGGAATTTCATGTCCTTTCCAAAGGGTGGAATGATTTTTAGACTCACCCGAAGCTGTCCTCAAGCATAATTTCCTATGTAACTATTTTGGTCACATCTGTCCTGTACTATTGCATGTACAATGAATGCAGTGTAATGTGGTATATCGAAAGAATGTGTAGTTTTGACTTTTTTTTTTTTTTTTTTTTTTTTTTTTTCTTTTTTTTTTTTTTTTTTTTTTTTTTTTTTACAGGAATCACAGTGAAGAGATTGCCATGAGTCTCACAGGAGATTTTGGATGCTTGAATGGTGTTTAGACTATAAAAGACTATGGGGACTTTTGAAGTTGAACTAAATGTCCTTGGGACTGTAAGATGGCCACAAGCCCACGGTAGCCAAGTGCCTGTGGTGGTTTGCTTGAGAAATATCTCCTGTAGGCTTATGTATTGGTGAAATAATTAAGGCCACTCCACATAGTTAAAAGGATATTTATTTAATGGTGTAACTCACAAATGAAGGGATAGGCAGGTCGCAGGGTCTAGGGAAGGTGTATCGCAATCCAGCGGTGTTCTCTGGAGCTCTGCTCCGTCCACCTCCACCGTCCAGGGTCCCTGCACAGAGAGATCACTCGCCCATTCAGATCTCGGGTCTCCAGGCACCTCCCCTGGCCCCGCCTCATAGGCAGGACAGTTGCCAGAGTCTCAATGGGGGTTGGGACTTCCAGATCCAAGCTGGAATGGCTACCCACTACACTTAAGTATTGAACGCTTGCCCCTTAGTTGTTGGCGCTGTTTGGAGAGGTTATGGAATATTTGGGAAGTACAGCCTTGCTGGAGGAAGGGCATCACCAAGGGGAGGCTTTAAGGTTTGTAGCCCTGACTTCCCACTGTGTGAATAAAAAATACGCTAAGCCACTTTGTCCTGTGATATTTTGTTTGGGTTCTGACAAATAAACCTTGCTTGGAGTCCGAGAGTAGAGCTAGCCACTAGTTAACCATAGAGGTTTGGAGGTCTGTACAGAGAGGAACAGGAAGTGATAAGGTAGGGCAGAGACAGAATCTCTGCCCTTCTGGAGGAAGGAATGAAAGAGATAGCAAGTCACAGGTGGCTGCTCCCCTGCTTCTCTGATCTTTCAGGTTTTTACCCCAATATATGACTCTTGGCTTTTATTGATAAGATTAATTAGATTTATGCATCATAGTTTCCTGCTTTATAGGAGGCATGTAGGTCCTTATCCTCACAGAGAAACACTAGGGAACCTGGAATGTTAACTACACAGGGCTGTTCCTTCAAAGGAAGGGATGCATAACCTGTTATACACCCAGAAGGCTGGGAGTGGATGTAGTTAATAGCCTGGTGATCTTTGCACTATCTGTGTGGTCAGGCTATGTCTGATCCTCTTGAGACCTTTATTGTAAGTTTGTTTTTCTCAGTCAATCTATAGAACCCATCTTTATGGAAGATGTCACACATAGTCAGTCTATAGAACCCGTCTTTATGGAAGGTGTCACATGTAGTCAGGCTATAAAACCCATCTTTATGGAAGATGTCACACATAGTCTATAGAAGCCATCTTTATGGAAGATGTCACATGTAGTCAGTCTATAGAACCCATCTTTATGGAAGGTGTACTTTACAAAAGTGTTTTTGATGAAATCAAACTGTCCCCTCAAAAGGACATCCTACTTCTTGGCTTATTTCTTGTTACTTTGGTCATGGTGACAGGAGAAGTCGCAAATGCCCTTTTTCAGGCTTTGGCTCCATTTATGAAGTGCAGGGAACAGCACTTCATAAATGGAGGGAGCCTTGCTCACCGGTCTGCTACCAAACGACAGCAGGAGGTGTCAGCAAGGAGGGGAAAGTGACTTCCAGGCGGCATGAGCGATTGTGTCTTGACTGTTGTGGATGTGCCCTTTGTGTTTTTGTTCAAAATTTTTGAGATTTAGCACGATCTCAGTGCAAATGTTCCACAAGGCAGGAGCAGAGACAGCACAGGTCACACAGTGAGCGCAGCTGTGAGGGATGCTCACATGCTCGCTGGCTCCTTCTCCTAGAGCTGTGTGTGCTTGATGGTCCCCCTCCCCCCCAGCAGAGACAGAAATGGAGCAGGGCTGCACCAGCTACCCTCTGTGCGAGAGGACAAGGTCAGTCACTTTGGCTCTGTGCACTCCATCACTTCTGTTCGACACTCCACTCCAAAGAGATCCTTGTTTTGACAGGAATAAAAAGTTCAGTTGTTTGCCTTCTACTGATGGAATATGCAAAGCACATGCACCTCATTCAGTCACATTCATGACCAAGTACAATGCACACCTCCTTTTGCCTTCAAATGTCACAAACCTCTTCCTATCTCAGCTCTCAGTCTAATATGGAATAAAACCCATCTACTGAGTTACTGGAGAGCACACAGGACTGCCAGTCGTGGTAGCAAGATCCTAAGGCAGGGTGGGAGCGGGAGACAAAGACCATGGGGGAGGGGCTGAGAATTTTCCAGATCGTTCTCACTGCCTGCTATTCCCACGGTAGGTAACACCAACTTCTGCAAATCAAGAGTTCACGTGAACAGCTGGTGGCATGGTGAACATAGCCTGAGCAATTGGTCTACAACATCCCCCTTCCCTCTCCTCCACCAAGCTCCTCTGTCCTCACACGTCCTGTTTTACTAATGAATAAAAGCACTGCAGTATTAGGCCTCTATTATTGTAGGTTAAATCTAGGTGACCACAAACATTTTTTCAAGGCTCTCCTCTCTCTCTCTCTCTCTCTCTCTCTCTCTCTCTCTCT